TCTGGTATTTCTCATATATGTGCTAATATATTTTATATTATATTTAAGATGAAATTAATAGATTTATGTATAATTTTATTAAAATCTCATATATAATGATACTAATAATTTTTCTGATAATAATTATTAATAAATTAATAATATATATTGATTTATAGCATTTTTAGTAAATTTTAGTAGATTATAATAGTTTGTAATAAGTATATTATAATAAAATATTAGATTCATTATTATTCTCTTATTTAAAGAATTTTAGATAAAACAGATTTATAATTAAATTTTTTCTAACATAAAGATTCAGTTAAAGATCTGAATCAATATAATAATTAAATTATTTTTTTTTAGATCTATATTTTATTATAGATCTCTGTCAGTTCTATGATAATTCTAGAATAGTTCTAGGTACTAGTGAGTCTCTATAAATTATAAATGATCATTCAATAAAATTTCACTTTAATCTTGAAATTACTATTATTATTTGATTAATTATTATATTAATTAAATTAATTTTTCTCATAATGATTCTAACATATTACTTAATATTTTTTTTTTATAAAATAGTTTCTTTAGAGAAACTTCTCATTATGTAAAAAAGATAACTATAAAGTTTTTTGATGATCAATTTCACATTTTTATTGACAAATGAAAACAAAGGAATTCTATATATCATGCTATTACAAATAAGAAGAAATATCTCTTTTGAAATAATATTGCTGAAAAATAAACAATTAAAAAAATACCAATTATTTCACTAACAAGAAATATCATAAAAATTCTTAAGTCTTACAAAAACTCTTTACGTAAGTAGTATTGACTGTTTGTTTACAACTAGAAGTATTTTATAAAAACCTATCTGTTTAATATATTAGTAGTAAAATTTATATTATATATTTAATGTAATATTTTTGTGTATTAATATAAGATTTTAGTTATAATAAAATATTGAATTTTTAAGTTGTAATCTATTATATTTCATTAATTTAATTTATTTATTGTATTAAAAAATATTTGTTCTTTAATAGGTTTTAATTATTTGCATTTAGAATTTTAACAAAATTTTATACTTTATCAATTTGATTTTCACAAATATAAATGTAATTAGTATAAAATTTTGAGAAGATATATTTATTAATATATAAAGAATAAGTTTAATTAATAAATAGAAATAGTTTACTAAAAAATTTTATGTTTAATTATAATTGAAAACTTGTATTAATACACGAAAATGTTATATAAAATACTAAATATAAAATTTATCATTAATTAAAATTTTAATATATGTATATTTCATAAGATAAATAACTTAACTTATTATATCAAAGATGATTTGATTAATAAATAAAAAGTTTAATTTAAAATAGCTTTTTTTATCAATTTTCTAATTTTTAAGTACCCGATAACTTTTGATATTTCACTTTATATAATAAGAATGTTAGAAGATCAAGTAGAGTAAGCTTATCATCTCACTCATCAGAAATACTTTAAGAAGAAAAGTTTAATATTTTATTAAAGATTTTAGATAAGTCTGAGGCTTTACATTAAAAAGTATTTTAAGTATGCTATACTATTCTTCTTTAATAAGAGATTGCATAAAAGATTCATATATTTCAAGATTAATAGAATTGTTAGGATTATAAACTTATTTCTATTGATTAGGAAGCAAAAGTTAGAATATAAAGGCTGATCTAAGAAAATCAAGTTTAAACTTAATAAATTATTAGGATTAGACTTTAATTTTCTTAGATCAGCTCTCATATCTTAAGCTGATAACTTGTTAGAAGTAGCAAGCAGTTTCTTTTTAAATAGTAAGAGGGTCAATCAATAACTTCTTATTAAGATTATTATTATTTTAAAATCTATCAAATAAAATAGTGATACAAGAGTACTTTAAAAGAGAGTTGAATATCATCTTTTGCTTATTAATCAAATTTAAGCAATGACATTCTATAACATCTTGAATTACTTTAACTTTAAACTTAATTTCTTGTAACTTAACTGTAATGATAAGAATCTTTCATAGATTTAATTATGCAAGCTTAACAGATATAATGTCTTACAATATAATAATATTGAAATCAGGTAATTGAGTCTCATATTCTAAAGAAAAAAAAGCTATTTTTTTGTATAAATATATCTATTTGTTATTAATAATTCTTGAGGTAATACAATTTTTAGCTAATTTTTCAAGTTTTTGAATTAGTTTAATATGCTTATAAATTGTTTTAAAAATGTGAAGTTATAAGTTACATATATAATAAGCTATATGTTTATTTGAAATAGTTGCATAACAACATTTATAATGATTTCTAAAAATAGTCTCAATAAAAATTTGTTATAAAAGTTACTAATACTATTAAAGTTGAAAGAACTTAGTCTTGAATATTTATATCTATAACCTACTGAAATATTTTCTGAATATGCAAAATGATCTGCAAGGTTAAAAGAAGATTAATTTTATATAATATTAAAATAATTTGCAATATTATAGTTAAATTAGATAGATAAATAATCTACATTCTTATTTTTTAATTTTAGTATTCTAAATTTATTATGCAAATATGTCATTTATTATTAACATTATTTAATTAATTTAATTAATTTATTTTATTTAAATTATTTTATTCATTTATATTATTTTATATATTTTATTGTTTTTTTATTTATTGATATTAGTATGTATTTTTATATAAATAGGAGTAATTTATTAATATAAATGAGAGTAATAAAACTTACCTGATAATAAATTCTTTTGATAAATAAATTATTTAGTACAGATGTACTAATAGAGATAGTACTAGTTTTTGTTTGTTAATTAATTACCATATGTCACTATATACAGTACCTAGAGTTTTAATCAAAAATGTGATTTTTCAAATTGAATAGTACTCACGGATACTAAATGAGAAACTGAGTACTATTTTAAGAGAGATATAATATATAGACTGTATATAAAGGTTATAATTACATAACTTTAATAATAAATATCAAAAAAAAATTAAATTTATTTTCCCTTTTCCAACCACTTTTTATTGTATATATGATCTTCAATACATACTTCACAAATATTAAAAAAAATTTAATACTTTTCTTTCCTTTATATAAAAATTATGAAAAATGTTTAAGTAATAAAAGAAGACACTATACAAAATGATATTATAAAAGAAGCCTTAATCTTCTATATCAATAATACTACACCTTCAAATTCTACCTTTTTAACTTTATAAAATTAAGTAATCTATTAAAAAATCAGAGTTAGATTATAATAAATACAACCATTAATTTTTCTTTAACATTCTATAATTAATATTATTTTTGTGAATTTGTAGTTTATTATACGTGAAAATTCCTCTTGACATTTTTTAAAATACTAATAGTTGTTGATAATTTTTAAATTTAAAAATTTTCGCATCTTTTATTTTTGTCATAAGGCAAATTATTTAAAGAAATATTATGAACTATAATCCAAAAAGAAGTATTAATTTCTACATCTAGAAATTTTATTATTACTATAAAAATAGACATAATGTTCAAGTCACTACAAATAAATATAATATATAACTAAAATAAGTTTGTGATTAGAAGAATAAGAAAAATGATTAATGTATACAGCTCTATATATTCAATGCCTTAATACTAGTGTAAGGCCAAAATATCCATAACTTGAAATAGCTCAAGGCTTTTGTTAAAAGAATATCGTCAGTAATAATGAGGCTAGCTTTAAGTACATTATCTACCCATATTACTAATGCTTCTTCAATAAGAAGAAATGGAGTTTTCTGATCACATTTTAAATTAGCTTAGTATGAATTGGTATTCACAAAAAGCTAACGGTCTTTCTCCTTTAAAATATCACTTACCATGCCTTCACTAATATCATATTCATTAGCTAAATTTTTTTGTTTTAAAAAAGGTGATGATATTTTTTTTAAACAAAGTTCTTTCTTTTGTGTAACTATAAGAAACTTTCATTTTTTTTAAAGGTTCATCTTGTTTGTTAGTAGGTTGATTAAGTTGTTTTTTTGAGTTTACTTTTGGCATTTATTGGCATTATGCAAAGAAAAAAAACGCGTAAAAAATAAAATATGTAAAAAAAATATAAAACATAAGACATAACGCATAATATAAATATTTATTCATTTTTTAATTTTATTTAAAAACTAGGTACAAAGAACTACAAAATTTTATATACATAAATCTAGTAAAATTCATTTTAAGCAAAACTTCGTTGTATCAAAAAAAAATTTGTTATAGAGAAAATTCATTATAAAAAGAGTCATTTTATATATAAATTTTTCTGACTTCAATTTGTTAAATATAGTATGAATTTTTAATTACTAAATTCAGTATAGTAAGAGTTAACTGTAATTATAAGTAAATTTGGTTTAAAAAAAAAATTGATATAAGTTAAAATCAATTTATTTTAAATTGTTATATTAATTTCTGATTATATAATAGTAAGATTAATTATAAAATTTTGTTATAATTATTTAATAAAATTTAGGATCACTTATATGTTCATAATAATAAAAAATTTAAAATATAAAAATTTATTATAGAGAGAGCTTTAATTATTCAGAATTTTTTATTTAATGATTTATTAATATATATTTTAGTTTATTCAAAAAAAGCTAAATAGATGAATTTTCAAAAAGTTTAGAATATTTATAAAAAAATTTGATTATTAATTTCTTAATAATAACAATTTTAAAATCAAAAAGCAAAGTTATCTTTGCCACAAATGATCTCAGGATTAGGGGATCGTCCTAATTTGGTATTACTAATTTGGTACTCCCCTTAAATATTTTGCTCTTTTGAAACTTATCAGAGTTATTGAGTCCAAGACTCTTCTTATAACCAGAGACATTCATTAGACATAAACAAAAGCAAAAAAAAACGATTATTTTCAAACCATCCGTTGGTTTATATATTATTAATTTTTTGCACAAGATTGACTGTTCCTAGAAGTGAATCTTTTATATCGAAAGTAAATTTTTTACAAAATGAGTGATACTTTAAACATGGCAATTGATGATTATAGAAAGCCAAGGGGAAGAAACCACAGATCTTCTCGAAGAGGCGGACGTGTTTCAACATCACACGTCAGAGGTACTTTAACTCGCAGTGCTCGTCTTAGAAATGCCCCTTACGAACGGCAGGTAAATACAGACTCCTCAATGATTTAAAACACAACTTACTTAAATAATATGTTTCAAAGGTTTATTTGTTTTATATAGGTAAGTTATTAATCAGTTGCCTATTTCAGAAAGGCAAACGTTAAAATCTAATCTTAATTATAAGCCTGTAAACTTCTATTTTTTTTTTTTTTATATTTATTATAGCGCCCTCCGAGAGGTGATATAAATGGTCAATGGTCCCACGATCTTTTTGAGGAGAGTTCTTCCAACAATCGTCGTTCTATCGCAACTAGTTCTAGACGAATTATTTCTAATCCTAATGGAAATAATAAACTTGTCGTGGAAAATTTATTTTATGAAGTAACTCAAGAAGATCTTGAGGTTAGTTATCGTTGATATAAAACTTTAAATGGTCTTTTGTTTTAATGAATTATTCCATGTAGGAATTATTTTCTGAATGTGGTACTGTAAAGAAAGTTCACATACACTATGATCGTGCTGGACGAAGTACCGGGGTAGCTGATGTTGTTTTTGAAGCACCTTCAGAGGCTGAAGCTGCTCTACGGAAATACGACGGAAAGACTCTGGATGGTACTATATTGCAATTTGCTATGGATGGATTATTTTCAATATTAGCATTTATTTATTAATTTTATAAATGGATATTTTAACTTAGGACATCAAATGAGAATTAAATATGCCCCTTTTAAACCTGCGCAGAGAAATACAACTGCGCGTAGTTCTTCTAACACTGATGGTGGCTCAGTTATGGACCGTTTAGGCGGTGCACCAATGTATGTGTTTAAATACCTTATATTCAACATTAAGCCATAGTATTTAAATCCCTTCGTGATATCAAAATTATATATGCATGTTGAAAGTCGTATACTTTGGAGCTTTTAATAGGCAATATTAATGACTTTACATTTATTACTATAAAATAACCTTTCATTTTTTTTTACATTTGTATAAAATTAGTAAGCCCTCTCGTGGAAACATTCGTGAAAGATTAGGTAATGCTGCTCCATCTGCTCCGGCATCTCGGGGTCGTGGTCGCGGACGTGGTCGAAGTAACAGCTCTTCACAAAAATCATCTAATCGTAAGCCTGTCACGTACGATGACCTTGACGCGGATTTAGATGCTTATATGGCAATTGATGATGTAATTATATAGAATAGAAGGAAAATTTTGTTATTTGTTAGTTATTCTATTCATATTTGATAAAAGTTTTGATTCCAATGATGTAGGGACAAAGTGCTGAAAAAAGAGGAAAAAGAACATCAAGAGGCTTAAATGGAGAAAATGGGATGATGGATTTGTCATAACAATCTAAGTTGATTTTAAGGCAAATTATTGGATAGAGATTCCTTTCATCTTTTCTCACTACATATAGCGAAAATTCCTTGTTATGTTACTTTGGGTATGGTCATTAGCATATATTATATAATTTGTCATACTCTATTGTGGATTATGATGTTCGGCAGGATTTTTACTTTTATATATTATTCACAGTCTAACGTCTGAGATTCTCTTCGCTATTGATTCATGTGAGATGATGCATTAGGAGTATTTTTTTTTTTATCTTATTTTATATATAAAAAATTTAATATCTAGACATTCATACCTTTTAGTAATTCAAATATTATACAATGTTTTCGGATAGTATATTACAAAGATGCAAAGATGCAACAAAACATCATAGTTATCATTCAATTATACTTATTAAAGTTTCGACGGCGAATAAGACCTTTTTTCGCCCAATTTTTTGATATAATATACACTGCGATTAATTAATTTGTAAAGTGCTATTATGGACCCATTTTCATAGAATAAGTAAATAGATTATTGGTTCTGTAAACCACATCAATTTTTATTAAAGAATGAATTTCACGAGACAAATTAAACGACTTGTAATCATGTGATTCAAGACAAAAAAAAATTACAAATTCACTTATTTCGATATGTTGATAGATTAATTATTTTTATTATCATGTACTCAAAAAATTAAGACTTTATGAATTTCTCTATATTTTAGAAAATGAGGCACCATTCATTATTTTAAGAAAAATTTTATCTATAATTATCTTCTATTCTTAATTATAGATTGAGATCAACATGATAGATGTTATATAGTTGGCATATATAATAGACAGATAAGAACCAACATCATGAGACACTAAAGTATTATGTGTTTGTAAGGTTTAAAGAAGGAAGGATAGATTATAGTAACTGGAAATGTTGAACAAATATAATGATTCGTAATAAGCTAATAACGAACTTTTTTTTCTTATATATATATTTTAGTCGGAAATATATGCGAATTAGAAATCATTGAATGAACTTATTATATTCGCAACATAGCTGGATGCAACAATTAAACTTAGATCAATATATGGACGAAAAGTAAAGAAAAGATAAAATTTTATAATAAAAATATATGGAATCCATAATCTTGATAAAATATATTTATATAGAAAATAAAAAGAAAAATATACTGTATATAGAAAAAACTAATTAATTATCTATAAAGATTACTGAAAAAGTAATAAAAAAAAAGCATAGACAAAATACATATGAGAAGATGCAATTCTCCATTGCAACTATTTTATAATTATACTATAGTTTATCAATTTCTTGCTATAAGTTCTGAATTAATAATTATATTGAAAACTTTATATATTAACATAATTTTTGATATTGATATATATTGAAAAAATAAGAAAAATTAGTAAATAGTTTCAAATTTTGAAAATTTAACAAAAATTAGTAAAAATAGAAAAAGTTTTAAGTAGAAATTTATAACTTAAAAGGTTATTAGATAAAATTTAAATTTAATAGAATATCTAATAATAAAGATAAAACTTATCAAAATTATATTATTATATTATAAAATAAAAATAAAAATTATATTAAAACTTATAAAATATTAAATCAATTAGTAAACTAAAAATTTTGATAAATAACTTTATATAAAGTATATTATAACAAAACCATATAAAATAAATATTAATATTACAAAATTTTAAGAATTAAAATTTAGTTATTATTATCACAATTAGTTTTATAATGTCTTATTTGTTAAATAATATATAGAATAACTCTTATATAAAAAATAATTAATATAAAGTTAATTTACATTAAATTCACTAAGAAATCTAAGAATTATAATACTATCAAAAATATTTTGAAAAAAAAATAAGTAAAAAAATTACCTTTATATTTTTTAAAATAAATAATATTCAAATATTAGAAACTTATCTAAGAAAAAAAAAATTATTTATAAATTTATTAAGAAAGAAAAATAATAAATCTAAAAAAGAAAATAGAATGAAAATATATAATTTTAAAATAAAAAGCAGAATTTTTAGAAGGAAAATAAACTTATTATTACATTATTAATTTTTTTTTTTTTACTAATTATTATTACAAAAAAAATTATCTTTTATATAAATTTAATTACATAATTTATAATCATTATATTATATTACTTATTAATAAAAGTTTTAAATAAATTTTACATTCAAATTGTTTTATAAATCCTTGTTTTTCATTGATATTGAAATAAGATAAATAATTATCTCATATTAAAAACATTATTAAATCATTGAATTTTTAAATAAAAAAATTAAATAATATATTCTTTTAATAATCATTAAACATATTTTTATTTTAATTTTAAAAAACAATAAATATTTATATAATATTTTCATTTATAATAACAATTTAAAAATTATTTATATTTAATATAAACTTTTTTATGAGATGTTGATTAAACTTTTATTTAGCTTTTTACTTTACTAAAATTAATAAAATTAACTTTATATTAAATTAAATATTAATAAAATAGAATTAAGAAAAAACTAATTAAAATAAATTAAATAAACTTATTAGTAATAAAAATATTCATAGAAAATTAAAAGTTTATAGAAGGATTTTAAGCAATTATTTAATAAAAAGATTAAATTAGATTTTGATTTTTCATTTAATAAAATAGTCATTAAAATTTATAAATTATTTAGAAAGAAAATAATTATTAAAACTTTTATTAATGAAAAATAAATCTTAAAAAGAAAACAATAAAAGTAAAAAAAAAAAGATAGAAAATAATAAAGGTAATAAAAATAATAATATAAATAATAATATTATTATTCTTGATAATAAATAGAAGTAATAATAATGAAATTAAATTTTTATTAAAATATTATAAAAATAGATAATATTTATAAATAGTTTTAGTTTAAGTATTTTTTCTATGTAAGTATTTTAAATAATTATTTAATTTATTATTTTTATAAATTATTTATATATTTTTCTATTATTAATTAAATTAAAAATAAAAATAATTGTTAAAATTCTAAATTATATATCTACTAATTTATCATTAGTTAAAAATTATGCATAATAAATAATTAATTTTAATAATTATGATCTAAATCAATAAAAAAAATTTTTTAAATTAATTTTAAATTTTTAAATTTTAAAAATAATATTTAAAAAAATTGAAAAGCAATTAAATATTATATTTGAAAATTTAGAAAAAGATAAAAAAAAGTTAAAAGTATTTAAAAAAGAGGAAGATATGTAATGATTATAAAAATTAAATAGAAAAATGATCTTAGTAAAGAAAGGATAAATGACTAATTAGATTAAAAAAAGAAAAAAAAGAAAAAATATACAAAAATTTATTTTTTATTTATTATTTATTTATTCATTTAAATGATTATTATAAATTTCATAACTTTAACTAAACTGTAAATTTCTTTCTATTACTTTTATCAATTAATTAATTTTAAAAAAAGTTAAGAAATTTTCAATAATCATTATACTAGTGAGATACCATTATGTAATATAATTATATTACATGATAGTATTCTACTTGCCTTAGATTATATTACTACTATATAATCTGAGTACCACCATATGATCTAAATACCATCATATAATCTGAGTATCACTAAATGATCTAAATAATATAATTTAATTATCACTATATAATCTAAATAATATAATCTAATTATCATTATATAATCTATTTATTTTCACGTATCAAATATCTTTTTTATACTTTAGCTATTCTTTTAAATTTTTCTTGCTATTTATATTTTTACTATCATATAATCTAACTACTACCTACCATTTAACCTAACTATCACTATATAATCTAAATATCACTAAATTCTATAATAGAGTTGTTAGTTCTTTGTAACTGTTTGGATATCTGATTATGTTGAGGATGCTGACCTCCTGTACCTGATTAGGTGCTGGATTCTATTTGAAGTGCTTATCCTTTGTGTCTATTTAGTTGCCTTTCTAGATACCAAAATGTGGTAAAAAAAATATGGTGTCAAGTAGCGCAGTAAATTCATAGTTAATTTCAGCCAGCATTATACCATAATTTCAGCCAATCTTTTGAGCATGTGATTTGAGAATCCAGCTTGGCACTATAATGGTGATTTGATAGTGTTCTGGAACTACTATGAAGCTATCATAGAAATTATCATAGAAGTGTTATGGAATTGACAGTTTGCCAGCTTGAATGTTGAGTTATTATGTTCAAGGATTTAGCTAAATTTATGTACTAGCTAATTTTATACTACGCCTTACTATGCCAGTCATGTGATTCTATTATGGTACTAAATATTCTTTCATAGTAGAGGTATACTTTGGTAAAATCTATTCAATCTGTTATCTGATCTGATCAAAAAATGAATCATTCAGATTATAAATGAACGGATCGCGAATAATCTAAATATGATTCTCAGATAACATTAGATTGATCAGATGTTATGTGGATGATCAGATTAATCAAATAATCTGATCATTTTATTTATTTTTATTTTTTTAAAAAAAAATCCCCCTTTTTTTCTTTAGAATCGAATTTGGACTTCAGAATTTACTTGAACAGCTTGGATTAAAAGGTATATTGGAATAGGGGGTAAATTCAGGTTTTTTTTGAAATGTTACTAATATTTATTTTTTTCTTTTCTTTAAGAAATGCCTTCTTAGATTTGGATTTTGGCTTGGGTCATGAAAGTAAGTTAGGTGTGGGTTTTTTTAAATTTTTTTTTGTCTTTCTTTGTCTTTAGAATGCTATTAATATTATTTTTGCTTCTTTTCTTTAGGAAATGCCTTTCTGAACCTGAATTTCAACTGGACTATAAAGGTAAGTTGATGCTTTATTTTTTCTTTGTTATTGGAAATGTCATTAATATTCCTTTTACTTCTTTTCTTTAAAGGACTTGAATTTCAACTTGGATTATAAAGGTAAGTAATATGGGGGTATTATTTTTGTTTCTTTTTTATCTTTGAAATGTCATTAACATTC